TTGGTATGACTGATTTGCCAATCTAACACTCCATTCAGTAATACAACAGTGATATCATATCTTGTTCGTTGATTTTTTAAAAAATGAAAACACCATTGAAGTCTAACAGAGATTTTAGGTCTCTAAAGTGTTTGGATTCCCCAACTCTCTTTAATGAATTATAAATATTGGCACAACAAAAGGAAGACTTAGGTCTAACCTCCAAAGTTGCAAAAGTGGTAGAGTTGATATAACATTAAATGAATAAGTGTGGAGATGCTAACTCCCCCTCATAATTGTTAACGGATAGAATCTCACATCGAATAAAAATGTAAACATAAACCAACTTATAAAGGATTTGGTTACCCCTGTTAATAAAGTTGACATTTTAAGATGAAATATCAATTCTTAACATGGTATCAAAGCTCAATAAGCTCTAACTAGCAATTCGATCACGTTAAGACTTCAAAAGTGAATATACGGATTTGAAGATTGATCTACTCAAACGAGCCACCATCTTATGGGAGCATTTTAAGGGATAGAATCTCACATCAAATAAAGATGTAAATATAAACCAACTTATAGAAGATTTGGTTACTCCTCTTAATAAAGTTGACCTTTTAAAATGGAATCTCAATTCTTAACAGGTCTGTTCAAACCAACCACCATCTTGTGGGGCATGTTAAGAGATAGAATCTCATATCGAATAAAGATGTAAATATAAATCAACTTATAGAGGATTTCGTTACTCCTCTTAATAAGGTTGGCATTTTAAGATGGAACCCCAATTCTTAACAATAATATCCTAAGTGCACTATCAAAATAAGTTTAAAAAAATACATAAGGAATCAATTGGTGGTCTAACGTAGCTATGCCTCTTTTTATCATGAGAATGTTTAAAAAGACCAAAACGGATGTTGGTTTGCAAGTGGATTGTCTTCTCTATAGATATGGTTCTCAAATCCATCTTTAATTAATGATATCTCGGATAGTGTGCACGTGACATTGGGGTCTATTATTTGGCATATAATAGAATATGATTTTCTTTCTTTTTCATTTAAAAAATACCCTACATAGCCTAACGTCAAAGAATCTAAGGAAACAAATAAACTAACAAAAGCATCCATGAAAAGAACATATTGCCCCCAATTGCTCTCCTTCTTAAAGCAAAGAAATTAATAAGAATAAAGTATGGTTCCTTGATCCACTTGTTATGCAACAAGCTACTTAAACCCCCCACAAAATTATGTGTTCTCCTTACAAATAGATGTGTTTTTATAGAATATCATGTACTAAAGCATCTGCAAATCTATTTAAAGTTATCAGCAATATATTTAGCAGATTAGAACTAGATTACTTACCAAAAGAGTGGAAATATTGTTTTGATGGAATCTCTCGAGCGTGTTTTTCCCATTGCAAATTTTGTCGATTGTTTTTTATTAAAATTTTATCTTTCAACACATTCCTTCCCAAATTGACCGGATTTACTTTAGCCCCCATTTGGTCCAATCCAAGTCAAAGTTAAACAATCAATATTAACCACATCTTTCATGGGTTCCACAACTTTTCAATCACGTAATTCAAAAACTTCTATCAAAATTCACTAAAAACTTAATTTAAATCCCCACCAAACACCCTCTTAATATAGTTGTTGTCCGGAAAATAACTTTTTAGTTTACTTATAAAATTAGTCTCAAAAGATTTAGTTATTAGCGGGAGAACAAATTAACCTATTCGATTTTTATAAAATTAACCTATTCCTAACTTTTTTATTGTAAGAAATTAAAATATTAATTCAAATCAATTTAAAAACTCAGCCAATGACCTCGAAGTGTACCTTGTAAGTTTTAGATTTGCTAACCCAATGTGATTAACTTGTCACTAAAATTTCGCCAACTGAAATAGTCTTAATTGTGCTATTCAATTGGATTTTATATCGTCGTTTAATATTTTAATATTATGTAGAAATCAATTGTGCTATTCAGTTGGATATTATATCATCGTTTAATATTTTAATATTATGTAGTTGTCTAAGAAGAATCTTATCTTATACAGTCATTTACTTGGATGGTTTTTTATGGTAAATTTACCAAAGAAAAAAAAAAGCCAATCTGTATAGGGTGTATTTACACTTTACACGCCTTATCTTCTAAATTTAAACTTTACATACTATGTTTTACAAAAAATAACTTTTGCTAACTAAATTACAAATTTACCATTAAAAATAGTTAAATAGATCAAAATCCTTATAGTAAAATACAAATCACATCCTTCGGATTACATTATGTAGCCCTTTAAATACTTTTTTTTTTTTTTAACTTTTCTTTATAATTCGAAAGTTCAATTACTATTTCTGTTATAAAACGGATCGCAAGATAATGGCAATAAT